CCTATGTATAATAGCTCATCTCTCAAGACAATGGTTTTCTGTGGGTTCAGTCATCATCCTTTACACTGTGATTCAATCTAGAACATCCCAGGATATTTGGAGAAGATAATCACCAGGCAATCACTTGCATTGCCTGGTTATCATGTCTGGTGATTATCATCTGGGACAGGGGTCAACAATTGATGGTCCAGGGGCCAACTCTAGCCCACTTCTTATTTTCCAAATAAAGTTTTATTGGCACATGGCCACACCCATTTGTTTACATACTGAATATGGCTACTCTTACAGTCAAACAACACAAGGAAGCAATAATGACAGTCCACAAAGCCTAAAACACTTATTACCTAACCTTTTACAGAAAAAGTTGGTCCATAGTCTAGAACAGCAAATTCTCCAAGGGGAGTTTGAGAGAACAAGCAAATGAGATGATATGAAAGCAAATACGCCCACTCAATCCAAGTTAGAAAGAAAAACATTTGAGATTTCTATAAGAGGTACATGTCTGGTTTGGGGCCTTAATTATAGTGTCCTCACCTGAGAAAAGGATTTCTGTTTTCTTTTCTACCTCTTCACCAACTCCTACAATCTAAACAATGGCCTCTCAGCATGTGTTTTCCCAGTGCTAAAGTCAAAGAGTTTAGACTCAGATTTTCCACTGAAAAACCTCAATTCCAAAGAAAAGCAGGGAGCAGTTATAGCCTTAAAAGGCAAGTCCAGTTCCAGTACCACAAAGACTAATGCCCTAAAAGGAAAGGGCTGCCCACACGACTGTACCACATTAATATGCAGGCCGCAAAGGACCACAGCATTAGATACACTGGAAAGGTAGAATTCAACATTGGCTGCCGATGTATATGAAACTAGAACTCAGCACTTTGTCTCGAGTGTGTTCCACTGAAATCTCTGATAAGAAGTCACTTGGAAGGAAAAACTAAAGGTTTGCACTTTAAAAAGTCAGAAATATACAGGAAATGTTCCATAGGACCCCACAGGGATCATTCACGTCTATTGTACTTTATGTGAAATTAATTTTTAAATGCCCTGGGGGTTGCGTAAGCATACCAAAAAGGGACTCCAGGACTGAAAAGACCCCTCTCCAGCTGGCTATTAAAAACTCAATTTGGGGGAACTATTCAAACAAAACATGTAGTATTGTAAGACTTTCTCAAGCATTTTTCACCGTTTCTCCCTCAACTGTGGGTCTTAGTTTAATAAACATGGTGGAATGCTGAGTCCAGGGGCTGCCTCTTCCAAAGGGACAGTGGGGGCCCAAAGAGCTACCTGTCCCTTTTCAAACTCTTCCCAGAGTTCCTTTTCAGTCACACAACTGGAGAATGGTCCAGACTTAAATCAAAGCTTAACCCACAGAACTACAAATCCATGAGTTTGGCTGTGACTATCACCTGTCACTGAATAGGCTCTCTACAACTTTTCCTATCTTGACATCTCCAAACTATACTTTTTCTCCTTTTTCCCAGCTTTACTGAGATATAATTGACAATTAACAGTGTGTCAGTTTAAGGTGTACAATGTGATGATTTGATACATCTATATATGCAAAGTAATTATCACAATTAGGTTAGTGGGCACATCCATCACCTCACACAGTTACCATTTGTGTGTGTGTGTGTGTGTGTGGTGAGAACATTTAAGACCTATTCTTTTATCAGCTTTCAAGTATACAACACAGTTTTGTTAACTACAGTCAGCATGTTGTATATCACATCCCTGAACTTCTTCATCTTATACCAGGAAGGTGGTACCCTTTGACCACCACCACCTATTTCCGCCACCCTCCACCCGTCAGCCACCAAGCTACTGTTTACTTCCATGAGTTCTACTTTTTTAGATTCTACATAAGTGAGATCATACAGATCTTGTTTTTTGTTTTTTTTTCCTGTCTGGCTTACTTATTTCATTTAGCATAATGCCCCCAAGGTTCATTCATATTTTTACAAAAAGCAGAATTACTTTCTTTTGAGGCTACGTAAGATTCCCGTGTGTGAGTGTGTGCATGCACGCGTGTGTCTGTCACAATTTCTTCATCTGTTTATCCACCAAAAGACACTTAGATTATTTCTGTGCGTTGGCCATTGTAAACGATGCTGCAGTGAACATGGGGTTGAGATAGGGATTTCATTTCCTTCAAATATACACCCAGAAGTGGAATTGCTAGATCAAATGATAGTTCTAACTTTAATTTTTTTTAAGAATCTACATACTCTTTTCCACAGTGGCTGTACCAATTTACCTTTTCAACAACAGTACACAAGGGTTCCCTCTTCTCCACATTCCTGCTAACACTTGCTATCTCTTGCCTTTTTGATGAAAGCTATTCTAACAGGTATGAGATAATATCTCATGGTGGTTTTCATTTGTATTTCATTGATGATTAGTAATGGTGAGGATCTTTTCATGTACTTATTGACAAAAATCAACTAATGGGATTACATCAAACTAAAAAGCTTCTATACAGCAAAAGAAACAACCACAAAATGACATGGCAATCTACAGAATGGGAGAAAATATTTGCAAACCATATATTAGATAAGGGGTTAATATCCAAAGATATATAAGAACTGATACAACTATATAGCCAAAAGGAAAAAAAAAAGTCTGATTTAAAAATAGGCAAAGGAATTGAAGAGACTTTTTTCCCAAAGAAGACATACAAATGGCCAACAAGTTATACTTTTTCCAAGGCAGAGCCACCTCACCACACCATTGTGAAGAGATATCAGGACCCTGTACCTCTATTGCATGCCCTGAGTTGGTCTTGAAGCCGAGCATGGCTTGTGGGTTGGGGGGAGAGGAGCAAGCATTCAAGGCCTGCTGAATAACTGTGCTCCAGTAAGAAATACTGTCAACGCTATTTCTTATCTCTTCTGAAATTGTGCATGAACAGAACCCTTTCATCCCCTGCTAAAATTAAAACCTTGGTAATTGTAACAAATGTTGGAATTAACACTAATTAGTAAATAATCTAAATTTTACAATATTTTTTAAAAAGGTGTTTCTCTCACATTCAACATATACTGAGATAAGAATTGTCAAAGTTTAGGTCTCTGAAAGAATCATTTGGCCTTGGCCAGTGTGGCTCGTTTGGTTGGAGCATTGTCCCATAAACCAAAATATTGTGGGTTCAATTCCGGGTCAGGGCACATACCCAGGTTGTGGGTTCCACCCTCAGTCAGGGCACATATGAGAGGCAACCAGCTGATGTTTCTTTCTCTCCCTCTTTCTACGCCCCTACCTCACACCACCCCTTTCTCTCTCACTAAAATGCAATGGAAAAATGTCCTCAGGTGAGGATTAAAAAAAAAAATTTATCATTTATATCACAAATTAGCTTAGAAATGTAGGTACCACAACTTAAAAAAAACTTAAAACAACAAATTTGAAGTCTTATTTTCACTCTTTTTTCATAGGTCATTCAAATGGTAAACCATGAATGCTGAAGTTGTATATTCAAATTATTAAGGCTTTGTCTTTTTTCCACTAAAGTAAACACCAGAAGGAAAAAAACAAAGAGATTCTTTTTTAAACACCCACCAAAAAGAAGTTCGTCTAAGTAATCCTAAATATTTTATCAAAAACTGATCACTTACATAGCACTTAAATTTCTCTCATTATTAAAATCCATTGAATCATGCTTTCCTTCATTATATATTAGGAATTTGTGATTATTTGTATCTTTAAAATTTGAAACTATACATTTTATAGACATAATTTGGCCTATATGATGTTGTTTATAAGCATGGAAAATTTGCTATGACTGGTAAGAGCCCCTGTTTATAGTAAAGAAGGATTTGGAATTATATATCCCACGAGGGCAGTGGGAGCAAGGAACGGAACCACAAAAGAGTAAGGTAGTCGAGACACTTTGAGAAACTGTGGTTTAAAACAAATCAGAATGAAGAAAAGAGGAAGCTTTTGAACCAAAACAATTTAAAGCAGCCTACCAGTTTATTCCAGGCAATTCTGTGGGTAGAAGCCAGGGAACCTGAGACAGGGTACAGGTAGATGTGAGGAAAGAAGGATTTGGGATGAATAAAGGACTCGACTCTTTTTTTCTTGAGTTCACTTCCAATTACCAACGTCTCAATGAATCAGCTCTTCCAATACGGTAGTTCGATTATAATTTAGGTCTTAGTCACTTTATCTTTACTAGCTGTTAGTTTGGACCTGTTTACACTGCTGACAATACTCACCATAAGCTCTGGATATGTTGGCCGTTCTTTGGAATTCTTCTTCAAGCTTAAAGAAAAAAAAATAATCACATTAAATCTAGAAACCATCTGTATTATCACTACACTAGGATTTCAGAACTTGTAGAAAACTAAACATAGCCAGCTTTAAAAGTATACTGGAAACATAGATCTTCTATCTTGACTTCTTCTGTTATACTTACAAATTGCATTTTAAATCTCTTTAGGTGTATCTTAGGGAAAAAATAGGTATTTGTGTCTTTGTGTGCATGTGTTCACTTTCTTTTGCTACTTTACCAATGCCATATATATAACTAGCTTTTCCAATCTATAGCCATTATATCTCAAAATACATATCTACTTTCCTTCAAAATAATTTTTACTCCACGCCCACTGGCAAAGAAATTGGCCAGTGTTTCTTAATATTACATTTGTTATCTCTTCACTATCTTCAATACATTGTTTTCCTTGCTTCTGAATCTCCTGGACATATAATTTGCTTTTACATACTCTTAGCCAAACCTGCCTGAGATAGAAGCAACACACACAATAACGTGTCTAAGGTGACGCTCCTTGTTTCGGACCTCTTTGTGCTCTCTGCAAGAGAGGGCACACTCAGCCACGGACCCAGCGAGTATGCTTCTTAGAATTACTTTGTGGTCCTGCACTCTTGTCAAGTGGCTCCTGTGTATTCACCTGTCTATATACACAGACACTTTAATAGCATTTGATATTGCAGACAACAGTAGTAAAATTGAAATATCAAGAAACCCATCCCTCCACCCACCCAGTATCCATCCCCAGTCTTAACATGGAACAACAAAAGAAGTGATTTATTTGGAGTTGGAATCCCAGGTTAGGGAATGAAGAAAAGGATGATTTTGAAAACTATGTAGGGAGGCAACCTACAGACTCCCCTGCCCGTTGGGTCACAAGTCAGACATGAATGGAAAGGCACTTGCCTGGTGTCGAAAGAAGCAAAATGTGACTGCTTATCAGGTTGCTGGGATCTGTGTGAATGGATCATTTTGAGCAGATGAGACCTAGTATGTGTGACATAGCCCAACAACGAGGGCAGTGGGAGCAAGGAACAGAACCACAAAAGAGTGAAGTAGTCGAGACACTTTGAGAAACTGTGGTTTAAAACAAATCAGAATGAAGAAAAGAGGAAGCTTTTGAACCAAAACAACTTAAAGCAGCCTACCAGTTTATTCCAGGCAATTCTGTGGGTAGAAGCCAGGGAACCTGAGACAGGGTACAGGTAGATGTGAGAAGAGAAGTTTCAATCTGGAACTGAGGGCAGATCTAGGATCTAGTGACCTCAGTGACCAGACAACCTATGAGAGAAAGTTTCATCTCAACTGAGGATAAAAATAGGAGGGAATTAGAAAGAGGAATTATCAACTGTCAAAGCGGTTTGACATGGGAAGGTGTGCCTGAGTGAAATGAATGAATGATACCTCGTCACTCCCCCTACGGCTCTGCATGTGTCCGTATCCTGAGATTCCAGAGGGTCCTCCTGGTGGTTCTCAACTGTAGGGGGCTTTGCCCTCCAGGGAGTCTGCAAGGGTTTTAGGTTTGCACAGCTGGTGGGGGAGGGGGATGGTACTGGCATCTGTAGGCAGAGGCCAGGGATGTTGCTAGGCATCCTATAATGCATAGGCCAGTTTCTCATGGCAAAGAATGATCCAGCCCCAAATGCATTCATTAGTGCCTATCTTGAGAAACCCTGGGCCATGTGCACTGGGCATATGTCCTCATTGCTACCTTCTATCCCCTTCTCTGGAATGAAATTCACTTAGAACAGCGATTTTCAACCTTTTCCATCTCATGGCACACTTCAACTAACTACTGAAGTTCTACGGCACACCAAAAAAATAATTATAATTGTGATTCATTCACACCAGAGAGCTATTGCTGTGTTGGCTGTTGTCATTTTATTTGCCAATCTAAGGGAAAAGATGTCAATGCCCCTGACTAAGTAGGTATTAAATGTGTTAAAAATTCTCACGGCACAAAGGTTGAAAATCGCTGACTTAGAAGCATCTCCAGCTGGTTTGTCTGTCATTCGGGCATGTTCTCACCACAACCACCCCTCCGTACACCCCACCCCAAAAAGCAAAAGTTCTTCTTTCTAAATCCAAGAGCTACTTCACCAAGAAAGCATAGAAGCTGAAATGCGATCTCAGGGGTGTTGCTGACTCGCACAGAGACCCTAGTAAAAAAAGAACAAACAGGCTGACATACAAAAGCCCTACATTTTCAGCTGTTGTTGAAAAGCAAATGAAAAACCAGAACATCTTCTCTGTAATCTGAATGCTTTAACTTGCTAAAATCAAGAATGAGAAACGCGAGTTCAACATTATAGCCACACTCGATATTGAAGTGGTTCAGCGGATGGAACAGGGAGTCAGGCGACCAGCGCTGAACTCCACACTGACCCTGAAACACCCTCCTTGAAGACCACGGCCCCCTGGAATGGCAGGCAGGAGGAAGGGCTTGTTTCTCAGATGTTAAAAACAATGGCCTCTTTTGTCACCCAGAGATCTTTGTGAGGCTGCTAAATTCTGAGCTTCTATTTAGTAGACAATAAAATTATAATCTCTTTCCTCTTCAGGTAGAAGAACTTAAAACTTACATTTCTTTAAGGAGCGGCAATTTTAAGTCAGGATGTCTTTCCAATTCTGGGAGAGTTTAAGAAAATTTCTCCAGTATTTTTTTAAATCTGTATGAAGAAAATGTGGGGAAAGTACCCCAAGCTTATCCATCATAACATGATAAGGATTCCTGAAATCTCAGAGATTGCTGACCAGTAGGTTCTTTCTTGATTCATGGTCCCTGATTAGAAAGCTCAAAATTTACCATGGCTGTGTGGATGGAAAAAAATACTTACACAGCAAACCAAGGCAGTTTATTAAATTAACATAACAGATAGAACCAATTCTCTCTATATTTTAAATTGAGAACACTTCAAAACATGGCCTAAGAATAGCTAAATATTCAGTATAAGGTTGGGGGAAAGGCAAATTTTCCATGTTTAATAGGAAGTGCTTGAAATTCAGTATAAAATAACAACTATGGAGTTCAAAGCTACACTGATTTCTTTTTGGAGTGGAGTCAGACTTTTGAATTTTCAAGTGGCTTGTCATTTTCAAGCGTGCAATTAGCTAACAGCCCTAATTCCTCTTCCAAATGCCACAACACACGCTCCTGACCGTGGCCGACACTAAAACACAGCTTCGTGCTGTCTTGAGAATTGCTAGCTTGAAGTTTGTGCTGACCAGAGGGTTTCTGCCTATTTGAATTCCCCACCCCCCTCCCCTCGTTTCCAAGAAGGCTATGTGGTATATCCACAAAATAAAAACACACTACGCCTCTCAAGCCATACCTATGTCATAAGCTAAATACATATCCAGTGCCTCTTTTTACTGTCCTTCCTGAACAAGTTGGGAACTATATTGGATTGTGTCTGTTGTATACTAGTTCCTCTGAGTGAGATGGGGTTGATGTCTGGGTGGGCCCCAGCGCAGGCCGCCATGCTGGGCTGGCCACGCGGGCTGGTCAGCTGGGCACCGAGCCTCTTCAATCGGCCTCAAGGGAATGCGAAAAGGAAATCCAGCTATCCTGGTGTTCAGGAGTTGGTTTCCAGTGACTTCCTTCCGTCCCCAAGCCTGTGAACCTATAGGAAGAGGTTATGGTAAAAAAAAACTTAGGCCTGCAAAGATTCCTCTGTCTTGACAAACTCATTTGTTAAGCCTCCTGCAAAACTAGAATATATAGCTTTTCTATCAGACTTTTCTGTGATGAAACCCCAAACTTGGTGTACACGGTCAGCCTGGCTTATCCCAGGAACTCTTTAAAGCCTCTACGATAAGAAAGCTTTGTGTGGGGGAAAAAGGAGGAAGAAAATACCATTCAGTAGTTCCTATTTCAAAATAAGTACACAAAAGAAGGCTTTGTAAGATATCCCTGTGTTTTTGTCCTTCAAGCTCATAAGGAATAAATGCCTGGACTTTTTCTTTTCTCCACCCCTCCCCTCAAGATAATGTTTCTCTGATGTTATTACAAAAGAAATTGGTATCAGCTGGATGTCTGGGCTCTAGCTCGAACTTAGGATGTGGCAGGGATAGCCTGTGAGTGCTCTCTCCTCTGCCCCACAAACCGCAGGCAGCGGCCAGAGGACAGCTGCTACCAGGCTGATCCTCTGGATGAAGGTGGAGAGCAGGCACCCCAGCCTCCAGGCCCTGGACGGGTAGTGGTCCGGGCCTGTTAGAAATCATCCAGAAACCTGCCCCCCAACTCCAGTCCATGGAAAAATTGCCTTCCATGAAAGAAGTCCTTGGTGCCAGAAAGATTGGGGACTGCTGATGCAGGGTATTTAGCACGACTGTGATGCCATCAAAAGCTCAGGGGACACAGCAAAGCCCACAGACACTCGGATGGCTTGCCTAGGCCATGAGTAATGCACCCTTTCCCTTCTAGTTCAACATTTAGCCCAGAGACAGATGTACAAGATAAAAACATAGATATATTTATCTTGAAATTTGAAATTAAGTCTTTCACCCCCCACTTGCGACAAAGAGTTGGGGCTTTTTGAGATGTCTGGAAGGATCATAATCTCACTCGGTCATAAAAGTATAAAAAATGCATGGAGATCACTCAAAAAAGGGGTTCTTCCATGAAGCTGTGTCTCAAAAATACAGTTTTCGACATAGAAAAGTGGAGAAACAGCGATAAAAGGGAGTTACACTTAGGGGCTATGTCCTTCTCTTCATCAGGAAACAGAAGAGCTGCTCTCAGGTGGTTCTCATTTTTCCATTCTTTCCACCTGGCTCCAGATCAAACTTAAAACTACCAGAAATGAAACAAGTCAAATAATTAGACTGCCACTGGGGGAGATATGCATCTGTGCACTAATACGTATGAAAAAAACAAAAACGCTTCCTTACAGATATTCTGAGCCATTCATAAAACCTTTAAAAAAAAACAAAACACCATTTTTGGAAGCATGTATCTGATTATTTTTCCAACTTGGCTCCAAAACACTGGTCATACTAAGGGTGTATCCAAGAAACTATATTGGTTTATGATAGGCAAAAAGCTGCTGACCCGGCATGTGAAATAGGAGGGCCTGTACTCTTAAAAAACCTGACCAAGCACAGGTAAGAATGTGCCTAAAATTCAGAACATTCATGCTCCTCCTCTACTTTCCAATTCCCATACCAGCAAAATGACTCCATTTTACACACTGATACTCTTCAGTACCGGTTCTATAGCACCAACAGTCTGAAGAAAAACATTCTCTGACAATTTCAATGCTGTGATTTCAAGTTTTCTCTCTCTCTCTCTCTCCCTGACTTTTAGTAAATCCCATAAGGAAGCAAGACTAGCTGACTTGAGTGTGAATAAAATGAAACAGAATTAACAATATTAGCAGAACTGACAGTTCCAGGAAAGCTGGAAAATGTCTATGGCTCATAATTTTGAAATTTATGAACTATATAGTAGCTTGGACTAATATTGAGAGAAAAAAAAAGAGAAACAGAGACCTCGGAGGGGCAGTAGTGAAAACACAATGAGAGTTCGGGGTGGGGGCTTGGGGGGGCGGCACAGGGTGATCACTATATAAAGAACAATAATACAAGTATCGGGAATTTCCATGGTCGTGTGCACACATTAAAATTGGAGAGCATTTATTTTTCAAGGTTTTCATTTTTAAAATCTCTGTGAATAGCTTTAACACTCTGATTCTTTAAGGGAAATTCTAAGTAAGAGAAAGAAATACTTTGCTAAAAATGTAACTGATTTTTTAAAAAAATAAATTGTATAAGAAAAACAGCTTCTAGACACAAAGCATTGGGTTAATGGCTCTAAAATGGGGGTCCTGATCCCAGCCACGCAGTGGAATGACCTGAGGACATTTGGAAAATACTACTATTCAGACCAGTGAAATCGGGGTCTCTGAGGGTGCAGCCCAGGTGAAGACCACAGTCCACTGGAAAGCTTTCTCGTGGTTTGTGCATGAGCAGCCAGAATTGAGAACCATTGAATGAAACTGTTTATTCACCACAGGCAGGTCAGCTTTCTAGAACTTTTCACAGCAGCTTTGTTCTCACAAAGTTTTCTGAAGTACCCAGAATCTTGGGGAAAGGGGGCAGGGGGGACAAGGGTTATAAGGAGGGTAGCATGAAAAGACCTGTCTAGTTAAGACCCTCACCACCCTTCTTGGGAACGACTGGTCTGAACTTTCCAAGATGACTCATCCCTTTTCCTACATGACCTCTGGATAAGAAAAGAAAAAATTCTTGATTCCAGAAGGCAAAATCATGAGCCCATCTCAACCTGACAGGTGTGCCCCCATATCTGGCACATGCCCAAGAAAGCAGACAGGAGGACACACATTGGCAGCCCGGAGGGTGTGCATATTAAGATGAAACCAGCATCATACTGGAAGGGATCCTAGAGCCCATAATGTAAGGGGCCCTTACGTACTAGAGCCCAGCGCTCCAGTGCTGGGAGCCCCAGCTGGGCCCGTCACCGCCCAGTTCCCCTTCCTCCCCATTCTGGCCCGCTCTGCAGGATGCCCCAATGAACGGACTCAGTTCCATTTTGTGCTTTCCTGTTGTCGGCATCACTTGCAATGATCATGAGCATCAAGTTACATTAGGCAACATGGTCCCAGTGCAGACAGAAATCACTAGATTTCCTGGAGAAAACTATCCCCTCTCCTACTTCCCTTGATTCTACTGGCAATTTTGATACGACCGTAGTTTACAGCATCAGTATGGCTCCTTCTATCTTTCCTCTCCAACCATCTTGAGATTCCTGTCTCTGATCCCTGATGCTGTCCATCAAATGATCATGAGCACGTAGATCCACAGTCAGCAAGAACACTGTAGGAGACAGCCTACGAACCACTAGGACTATCGTAGGACTTCTAGATACCTAAGGAACACCCTGAAGTTAGCCACCCCCTTCTCATCCAGGCTCATTCTTTGCATCTTATCTACTTCCTACCTCGAAACCTCCAGTGGGTCCCACCGTCTTTCATTTATGCTCTAACCAACATCCAGTTGCTTCAAGCTCTCATAATGGAGTCTCTCATTTTATGACAGGATGCAGGATGTTTCTTCTGCTTCAGATACCTTCCTTCCCTTACTTGCCTTTCACTCAGAGACTATCTCACAGGGCCTCTGCTCAGGATATATCTCCATCAGAAACCCTATCCTGATGCCTTTTCTCTGAGTTTCCCCAAAGCACTCCATAAATGCTTTTGGAATGAATGTATGCATAATGGATTACACCCGATGGAGGATATTCACGAGAACTCCTCTTCCTTGAACACTGGCACCTGGGAGGCGAGGCTCTCTTACCACTGTGAGGTAAAGTCCACAAACTCTTCAGAGAACTTGTCTGCTGGGAGCTGCGGTGACGGCTCCTCTACCACCTGTTTGAGCTGCTGGAAAGGAGTCCCCCACGAGTCATAGGGAAACCGAAGGATGGCCAACTCAATCTAGAGGGGAGAAGGAAACAGGAAGACAGCAGCTTACACATGGGTCCTTTATGGAAACTGCTGGGTTTTCTCCCAGGAGAACCAGTGGGAAAAAACGATGGTGAAGTTCAAGTAAAACTTCAGGGGGAAATAAACTAAGAATATGTGCTCTAGCAAATTTTCCCCAGTTTCTAGCGCTAGAGACTTTCAAAGACTAAGCCTATTTAAAACTGGGTCCTCACCAAAACCCACTATAGCACTTTAAAATTACAAGCCAGCGGTCTTGAACTTGAGGATGGAAAAGCAACCATGTTTTTTCAATTGCTGAGTCTGAAAAATGATTCCCATCCTAAGACTTTTTCTGAGCTATGTACGTCTGCTGCCACCTGCAGGTCTCCCGCTGGAATGAATTAAAAACAACCTACGACCAAAGGACTGGTCTTTCTTTGGACTTGATGTAAAGGCCACTTTGCTGTTACAAGACCCCATGTTTTCTGGACAGAAACATGAAGCAGCTCACAGGACTTAATCAGCTGCCGAGCCTGGGAAAGAGTCAGGACCACAATGGAGCGCTCCCGGCCTTGGTGACACACTGAACAACGATGATGGCCTAAGTTAGTAACTAAGCACTGATCATGTAACTTTAGGGCTGTACCTATGGAAATTTTTCTATTGTGTCATGTCTTTTAGCTATACCTGACCTACACAGCCAAGACTTCTATCATAACCAAATTCCGAGAAGCCTCATCTGTGGGTAACAGCTCTATCAGGGTCCTTGTACCTTGATTAAAATAATTTAATTTTAAGAAAACTATTAAGAACTACAGTCAGACCCTCTCGTTTTACAGAGGAGGACAGTGAGACAGCCCATGTGCATCCATCCTCAAGGGCATACAACTACTTAGAGGTGGAATAAAGACAAACTGGGTTTGCCCAATCCCAGTTCACAGTTTCTTCTATACCACCCTGCAAATGACTGTCACTCAGAATCTCCTGCTATGTCACACAGAAAAGATGCCTGAGGCCAGCATTTAGGGAATTTGCCTCTCGGTCTCAAAGGTCGCCCCACTCCCGTGCATGCCCAGAACCTCCTGGTCCGTGATGGTGAGCGTACGCTACCATTGTGATGCCCAGACTCCAAATGTCAGACTTCACGCTGTATCCCTTCTGGTTGAGCTCTGGATTTATTCTTTCAGGCTGGAAAGGACACAGAAAAAGACAACTGAGATGACATTCTTAGCTCAAGAAAGTCTCTGGGGGTGAGGGACAGCACTGCCTACCAAGTGAGTTGTCTGAGGCTGTTAAAACACTGCCTCCCAAAAGATTCACTAACTACAATAAATATCAATGTCTTGGAAACTATAATAAACCAAAGACCCCTCCCAATTCAAAACTAATTTCAATTTTCCTCCAGAAGAAACAGGATACAAAGCTACTTTGCCAGTCTAGAATATTCCTTGTTAAAAACACCAATAGCCCAGAACTCAGTTAAAAAAAAAATCAGCAAGTCAGTGGGCTACCTCCTGGTGTTAATAGACTAAAACACTTTTAGTGAAACAGGGACAAGAAGTTTTTTAATTCCAGCAAAAGTCCATTTCAACATAGACTACAGGAGAAGTCCTTTAAGTGAAAAGGGGTCCCAAGGTCTCTGCTAATGGCAATGACTCTTCACAGCTATGAGCTTCTCTCAGAACTGACCTAATGACTTATGTGGGCAATTTAAACTCTATTTATTGTTCTGTCCTCAAAAAACAAGGTAATACTCTCCTGCAACTCAGTGTGGGAAACCGTGTGGGCTGTATTATTTACATCTTTTTTTTTCAAACAACATACCTTTTTGCTTGATCTAAAAAAAAAAATAATATAGATGAAGCAAGTAACTAAAGATTTCAGACAGGAAATATTTAAGAATAAAGGTGATACAGAATATCTTTTGCATCTTAGCCACATTTCCATTTTCTCTCGGTAGCCATCCAACTCCTATCTCCTGGCAGGGTTTGCCTTCGCAGACGCCGCCCCAGCCACGTACTTACAGCCATGTACGGCTTGCACCCTGCGTCAATAGTTTTTGCAACGGAGTCTACAAGGTAGCCACTGATTCCAAAATCGCACATCTTCACTTGGCCCAAGGTATTGATCAGCACATTGGAGGGCTTGACGTCTGAAAGGGAGAACAACCAGGAGCCCATTGTCCCAGCCTGCTTGGAAGATTCGTTCCTCTACCACCAGAGGGCCTGAAATCTCCATTTCTCCCTCAGCTTTCCCCACACGCAGCATAAAAGTAAATGCCATCCCTGATTCAGTTACATACTTCTTATTCTTGAAAAAATTATTACCGAATCTAACGCCCCTCTAAATTATACATACTCTAAATCATGCAAAATGAGTTAAGTTCTAGAGATACGCTGTACAAGGGAGGGGACCCAAAAGAACCCAGAAGTATGTTCTAGGGGGCGGGTCCCTTGTCGTACAGGTGAGTGTTCTAGGAACCCATCTGCATCAGTGCACCAGCTGGCGTTGTTGTGAGAGGCTACATTCAGCTTTAGTGATTTTTTTTTTGAAGACTCTTTCAACACATTTGCCCATTTCGTGATGCTGATTTACAAGCGCACCCGCCCACACCACGCTGAGTGTTCAGCGGTTTTCGACCAACAGTGGCCTGACCCCTGTGCCCGACCCTCCCTGTTCACCCAGTCTCGCCCAGAGCGACTTGTATTTGTTTCCGCAGGTGAAAAAACGTCTTCAAAGGGAAACATTTTGCTGATGTGGAAGAGGTAAAACAAAAACAGCGAAAGCACTAAAAGGCCTCAAAATTGACGAGTTCAAAAACTGTTTTGGGCAGTGGAAATAAAGTCTTGATAGGTGTATTACATCAAATGGAGAGTACCTGAGGGTGACTAAAGTTTAAACATGTAAGAATAAATACACAATTTTCTATAAATAAATTCCAGGTTTTTCAGGTCCCCCTTCATACAACATTGTCCCTATAATGAACAATACTATACACTACACTTAAAATTTTGTTATGACAGTAGATCTCATATTGTGTTATGACAATAATGTCATTTTTAAAAGCCCAGTTTGTAATGATCTATTGCACATTTAGTGTAGGAATAATAGATCACGGGATGAAAAGTCATACTCTGACATAACAATATACCCAAATGAAATCAACCAATTTAGATTGAAGCCCCTCCCAAAGGTGGGCCAGAGGTCACAGAGCATAACCCATCATAAAATCAGACATTCCAGACCACGGGGCAGGTCACAGAACATCCATGTGGATGAAGGGGTGTTACTGACTCCTTTAGCCTGGAAAGATATACCTGCCCACCCCCACAAAGATGAACTGCTGGTATGTCCAGGTGATAGAAAGAGAAATTATAGTTAACTGTTTCTCTGTGACACTTTTCTCAAAGTATATGTAATCAGGAAAAAAATGTTATTCTAAAAACTTTTACAATTATGTCTTATAATTTTCCCTTTCAGTGGAATGGCAAGGATACAAATTTCATTTCATTATTTTTTAATTTTACATACATTCTCTCACACGAATGAAATATTTCATAATTTTGAAATAAACCCCTAACAATCAGTTCGCTTTTGTTCATAATCTACATTTTTCTTTCTATTTGGATTGTTTCCCTTTCTTCTCCTTCTCTTCCTCTTTCCTATTTTTCCAATTTTTAATAATAACAATAACAATAGGCACACTTTGGAAGCATTTTACAGTATTTCATGCTCAGAGCATACAGAAATTACCCAATTACAATGCCCTATTAGCTATCAATATTTTCCATTAACTTTCCCGCAAGCCTGGTTGAACGGCTTCCTTTCAAGAACCTCCCATGGACGACCATCACCAGCGGGCATCACTTCCTTGTTCTATATCCTACCTGTGCTACTTCCATATTTGGTGCTTCCCCTGATGTGTGTTCATGGGTTTGCTATATATTTGCTTATTTCCCTATCAAGAATTCCTTTGTAGAATTTTAATAAAAATATGTTTTCTTCTCAGATAATCTCGGGGCATCTATTACAGTGCTGTAAAAGTATAGTGTTATATAATGCTGGGAAAATGATTTTCAGAGTAAGTGGGTGGATACATGGATTGATGAAAGATGGAAGAATGGATATACGGGTGGATGGATAACAGATCCACAGGAAGGAAAAACGAAAGGAGGAAAAGATAGAAGGGAAAAATCTACCAATTCTTTCATTTTATCCTGTTTCCTGCTGTCTGAAAATGTTGCATTTTATACCAGAACTTTTCATACTTTAATGTGCACAAGAATTACCTAGCCATCTTGTTAACGTGCATAGTCAACTGGTCTTGCAACCAATGGTTCTGCTTTCTACAAGCTCCCAGGTGATAGCCAACACTGGATGAATTTTTGCTCTGTTCGCTAAAATGGTGCATGGGTGGTAATCACACAGCTCTGGTTGGGAACGGGTTTTTTATATTCAACTTAGGTGTAATATAAAGTCCAGGTCTTCTAATGTCCTTGGACAAAATTAAGAACAGCTAATTATCTGATTTGCTATCCAGTCCCAAGGGAAAACCCCTTAGTTCTCTTGCCTGACTCAATTCTATTTCCATCCATTGCGGGACAGAACTCAAGTAAAAGGAATACACTTTAAAAAAGGAACAGCCAGGGAAGCTCTGTGAATGCTTACCTCGATGAATGACGGAGAGCTTACTGTGTAAATGTTCTAATGCTTTTACAATCTGCAAGAGAAACACAAGACAGATTTATGTCCCCTCTCACTGGAGAGAAACTGAATGATAAGTATATCCAGGTTTATCATCCGTGACTTAAGATCACGAGTTGAATTATTTTCTCAAATAGTGGTGGCCCTTTCCAGAAAGACACACAAATTGAACTCCACCCACCAGAATATTCCTCACTCACACATCTTGTTTTTCATTAGCCTGTAGCATTTTTTCTCTCCATCCTCCTGAACCTCAATAGCTTTTAATGGCAAACACCTTCATTCCATTTCATTTTTTTTTCTGCTATGCCTATTAGTCGTAAGCAAATGTGTAAAAAAATTCTTCAGATGAAAATTAAACTAGAATCAGAATTCAGACACCAGGAGTGTAGTCATAGTAGATGAATACATGGCTGAGAAGCTCTTGAACTGAGAGTTTACCACACTGAGTCAGTGGTGGACTGTTCTACAGTGCTCAGAGAGAAAAGCATTTGTTTACCCATACTGCATTCAACATGTTCTGGATGTTTCCTCATATTGGGGACACAGAGACACAAGGGGCCTGGATGTCTCATGTTGTCCTTGTAGGGTTCATGATGTACTCACAGAAACTGCTATTTTCCCTAAGATGTCCTCTGGAATAGTTTGGCCCTTATCAATCACTTGTTTGTAGAATTTATCTAGTGATGTATCCATGAGCTCCATGCAGATCCAAACATCACCCTGGAGAACAAGTGGGTAAGAGGTTGTTAGAGGAGATGAAAAAGGGAAAAAGGGGAAACAGTGAACACCTACCAGGAAGAACTACTTCTTTCTTGAGTTTTTGGAGGAAATGTACAGTTTCTCTTCAAGATCTCAAAGGAATTCATAAACAAGCAAAATCATCTCCAAAGAGCATACTAGCATACAGCCAAGCAGAACTGGCATCTGACCACATCAAAATACTAATGAAGACAAGCAAGAGAATCCCAGAAATCCACACCTCTAACTGTGACTGCCCCCTAGAAGCTAGATGTACAAGCCTGTTCCACGTCTGACCTCCCACATGGAGCACTGGCCAGAGTTCATCAAAAGGCTGGGTTAAGAATAAGGGGAAGCATCATAATCGTAGCGCAGCGAAGTGAGAAGTGGAGGTAGAGCAAACGGATAAACAGAAGCCAGTATGATACGAAAACAGGCTATATAAAGTACGGCAAATAGCCAAAGGGACAGAATATTTCTGATTTTAAGGATTCTATCCCAACCAGTCTATAGACAATTGATACAGGCAGTTCTGCTAAAAGAGAAAACAAAACAGAAGCGGGAAAGAGAGCCACATTGTCTTTAAAAGGGCTTGAAAATACCATGATTTCCAGCCAACTTTGAACCAGGGCATCATGTTATCAATGCAAAGCATAAAACTCTCCACAGGAGGCACGTCGAACAAGAAAGAGCACCATGACCATGCACAGCATCTATGTGATTAGAGATGCTTCTTTTTAAGCTCTTGTTCTCCTTGACTTTGAACCGAAGGATCACCTACCTCCCGGAAGAGTGCACCATAAAAGGTGACCGTAAAAGGACAGTCCACTGTCCTCATGGAAATATCCAGATCCATCAGTAGCCTTTTCTGCTCCTGGCTGTTTACTGTGGCCCGGATCCGCTGAATAGGAATGCATGGAAAAATGAATGGTTACAGCTTTGAGCATGAAGCGGAGTATAATGCAGGGACCTATCCTGAAAAATCCACGGCACAACTTCTAGCAACAACCTTTTGAACATCCACCTTAAGTGATTAGCTATTTGTGACAAAAGAAAAGAAAGATAGTTATGCATTTGATTTCCCAAATAATCCTTGGTTTAAAAGGAAACTGATAATATATTTTGGAAAATGTGCAGGCATTTGGTAATATATTTCTAAATTACAAAAACAATCTGATTTATTATATCTGTTCAGTGCAAAGAGGCCACAGTTATGAATTACTCTGTGGCTGATCTGGAGTCCTACAATAAAAGCCAAAAGCCCCTCTTTGGGAACAAGTAAGAATATTTGAATTAAACAGCAACTGTGCAAGAATTGATACAGCTGTGGGAAATAGAAGGCATCTAACAGAAATGGAGAAATCTTTCATTCCTATCTCCGTGATTCTGAGAGAAGAGAAACCTCTCACATCAGCAAATGTAGCCTTATAGAAATAGGATTATTTCATTAAATCACAGGAATGGTATATACCGGGCTTTCATATTTTTGTCTGTTTGGCAAAGAGTCTGCAGGAGAGCTGAAAAATCTACAAACTAAGGGTAAAATATCTTCATTCTCTAAAAACAAAGGGATCCAAGTCATCTGACCATCCACATTCCCAACAATGGCCCAAATCTATTAATTCATTTAGAGATGGCAAGTCTCCAAGGTCCTTCCAGCATCTACTTAAGAAATATGCAATGATTACACATTTCTTTTTATAGTGCAGAAACTATGCAAATGCACTCAAGATGTATTTTACCCTCTGTTTTTTCCACAAACAGGCAATCGTTCTCTCTATTCTTGTTTCCTGATTTTCAGGGACAATTCTTTAAAAGAAATAAAATATAGAATAAAAGAGGCTTTTCAGACACAATAACCAGCTGCAAAATGTGAACATTTGTTTGGATTCTAATTTAAACAACCAATAGGAACAACAACAACAAGAACTTCGAGACAATCAAGGTAATTTTAATGTGACCCAGGATTAGATGACAGTAAGGAAGTACATATTTTGCTGTGTGTAATGCTCACATTTTGCTCAAACTTTTGAGGGAAAAATAAGGATACACATTATACATTGATAATACTAATTCATTATCTATGTTTTTCCCTGAAAGTTGGGGCTAAAAACATGGGTGTGCATTATACACAGCAAAACATGGTATTTTTCCACACATTGGGAGGGCAATCTGTTCCCTACAAATAATCTCCTCTGTGTCACCCCATTGGATATTGTTTTGTTTCTATGAAGAGAACTGATTTGCAACTGGGGCGGACAAATGTAAACACCACAGATAGAAGACATTTGGAGAACGTCAACTCTACCTTCACTGCCATGATCTGCCCGCTGGGCACGTGCCTCATCTTCTCCACCACCCCATATGCACCTCGTCCCAGTTCCACTATAGGCTCCAGGTCATCTGCTTTCACCTCGAAATTCTGCAGGAGAGAAAAACAATGCAATAGGAAAAAGGAAAATAAACTCAACATAGGCTATGTTGTTCTCTCTCTGGTTTCTCTCAATGTTCCAAGGGTTATTTCGGAGCTGCTGGTCTCAGAGCTTTTCCAAGCAGCCACTGAAAGCAAAGTGTCAGGAGATGTTTAGAGGCCCACAGCCTGCCACTTGCTTGTCACAGCCAATACAGAGACACAACTCTAACTGAGCTTTCACAGTGCTCAGTTGAAGGTGTCTACACTGCAGTTCATCAGCCATGCCTCCTCCAATATATGTGTAACTCATGTACTGACTTACGGTGACTAGATCCATACTTGGGCTTTGAGAAATACTGCCTGTCCCCAAAGAGAAGCATCTCCTCTCCTCAAATGCCTTTCGTCAAGACCACAGCAGCCTGATTTCAATTCCACATTCAAAAATATCAAGAGTTCCATATACTACTTCTATTTAAATTCTAACTTTCTGACCCACCCCCTCACAGCATGTTACAGAAAAGAAATTTTTCAGATTTTTCAGTGGGCAGTCAGAACGCATACACATGAAATGGTTAAGATATGAACTGGCCAATGTGACTTTCCTCACCTGGTTTCCAATAGAAATGCATGCTTTGGAGTCTAAATCTCGAGGTGGCCTAAGGGGAAAAGGGGGAAAACAAAAAAACATGAGATTTTTGTCAAAAATGTCCTTCCCAAATCATATGCAACTGGATTTTTCCTCATAAATGGAAAGGGGGTTTTTGAATAAAATAAAGCAGCAGCAAAGTGTAAACAGTGTAATATTTGGAATAAAATACATTTGGCTTTAAATTATTTAACCTCTTTGAGCTTCCATTTCTTCTGCTTTTTTTTTTTTTTAATTTAAGGGAGAGAGAAACATCGATTTGTTGTTCTATTTATTTGTGCACTCACTGGTTGATTCTTGTATGTTTCCTGACCAGAGATTGAACCCACAACCTTGGTGTATCAGGACAATGCTCTAACCCACTGAGCTACCCAGCCGGAGATCTATTTTTTCTTTATTGTGAGGATATTAACATACCTACCTCATGGAGTATTCAATAAACTATTCCAAGTAAAGAGCTTAGCAGAATGCCTGATGTACAGTAAATACCCAAAAAATATAAGCCATATGCATATATTATATAGATACATTATTCCAGTAAGCCTCAAGCCTTTTTTCATCCATGAACACCAATGTGCCCAATTAACCTCCCACCTTTTCCACAGCTGTTTAAAAAAACCCAATAACTTACGAATGGTTATCTAAATCCACAAAATTCACAGACCATAGAATTTGATATCCATCCAGTCCCTGCCTTTACAGAAAGGGAGAAAACAGGCCCAGAGAGGTGAACTGACATCCAAGGTCACACCTAAGCTAGATCTCCTGATTTTCAGGTCAGAATACTCTCTGTTCTATCAGGCTGTCAAATTCAGGTGTGGCACTTCTTCTCTACATTGTGTGCATCCTATCCAAGGTCATCTCGGCAGCCAGAGGTCTGCTCATTTTGTCTCTGTAAGAGAGAGCACAGTCGCCTCCTGTGTATTTATTTCTACTGCTTCAGTGCTGCCTGGGTTGATATTAAGCCACTCAACAGAAAGATGTTTGATTTTGGCTGTGCACCTAATGAGGAGCCTAGAAAAGCATTTTTCCTGAAATAAATGCACCAAAAGCATCATGACACAAGTAGTATATGCCAAAAAACATACTGTTAATACGGCCAAATAATAAAGCAACTGAGGGACATTCTGTGCCAGAACTGTCTCTAGAAAAATACAAGGGGAAAAGGAAGGGAAGGAAGATGAAAGGAAGAGAGAAAAGAATCCCTTGCCAATAACAACTTTTCCCAATCCTAATGTATTATAATTCTACCTCTTCTGCCGAAACTAAATAAATGAAGAAAACCATGAGGGAAACGTAGAAATATAAACACAGATATAAACATGAATCTCAGGCTTTAATGATGAGCCTTCTCTCACCTCAAAATCCTTTTGAAATACACAGAATACATAAAATAAGCTTTTCTATACAAACTTAAAACCAGGGCCTGGGGGGGGGGGGGTAGGGAGAGAGTAGAAAGCACGCACACAACATCCACACAATGTACACATATATGTGGCAGCCATGTTTTTATATATCTTGAAGAAAGAGCAGGGACTCTTCCTTCAAAAACACTTTCCAGGGCAATTAAAATAAGTAAAAATCTGATTTCTCATTCCTAACATCTCCAAAGCTATTTTTCTTCAGTTGTCACTATTTTTTCATACTAATTGCAGTGGAACTTTGAAATAAAGATAAATATTACTTGAAACATGTGACTAATATAAACAGTAAAAAAATCCTTTGCAACTGTTCAGCATTCTTCCTTTTAAAAGCAACAGAAGCAACAGAAAGGTCACTAGTATCTGGGGCTACCTCTGTTTTCTTGTCACCCAATGAGGGTGCTGGCTAAGACCTCTTCCAGGTCTGATCGTCTAGTATTCATACCAGGGCTCTGCAAAGTACAGCCTGTGGCCCAGCTAAGAATTTTTACAAGTTTAAAGGGTTATAAAAAACCAAACAACAAAGACTATCCAACAGAGGCCCCTGTGGCCCAGGTAGCCTAAAATATTTACTCTCTGGCCTTTTGCAAAAAAGTTTGCTGACTTCAGCTTTGTACAAATTTTGTATCATACCTCTACCTAATAGGAGGGTTTTGTGCCATTTCCCAGGCTGAGAAAAATGAAGCACAGAAAAACTCAGTGATTTGCTGAAGTCACAGTCCTCAACAGAGCTGAAAATATAACTCACATCACCTGACTCTCAGTCTTGATCTAAGGAGGAAAGGACATATGCTGAAAACAAGGTTAAGTGCTTTACCTGCATCTTGTGAACTATTTAACATACACACACACACACCCCCCTACCTGTGACTACCATTATTCCCTTGTTCCAAATGAGTTTGGCTAACCTGCTCCCAAGTAGTAAACCCATTATTCCAATCCAAGTCTGACCGAATTCAAGGAACCTGCTCTCAACACCCAGTCTTTCTCTAATGAAAGTGATCAGTCCACCCAAGCTTCAGGCCATAGGGCTCATCAGGTCTGCCAATAGCATCAGATGATGGAGCCACGCCTGACAGAACGTACTGGATTAGTTGAGGCTGTTTTCTGTTCAAGGCTGGGCACATAAGTTTGCCTAGGGCACTGAGTCTCTGTAGGAGGTTTATACTGTGGGTGGATGTCCTCTGTCACTTATTCAGTATTTTAGTCCACTGGGGAAAGAACAAAGCTTATTACAAAATTTCTTCCCTGGGAGGTATTCCAAAGGGCACCGAGTATTATTGTTTTCTTTGAACAACCAGCTTTGGCATATTTGAATTATTTATTTATAATACTGCATGAATGATCAGTTCACTGGTTATTGTTACAATTGTTCTTCTATTCAATAATATTTATTAAGCATCTACCTGGGCCAGAGATTGGGCTAGACCCTTGATATAAAATATCATCTTTAATTTTCACAGTCCTTAGCGGTATTATTATTTCTATTTTAATGGGAAGAATTGACATTGAAACAGACAAAATAATTTAAGGTCATTCAAAGAGATGGTGAGATTAGAACCCAGAGCTGCGCCATAAAGTCTTCTCAACTGCAGAAGTGGGAGATCCTGCCACTCACTTCACAGCCAGGAACTGTTTGGCCACAGCCTCTACCGGTCTAATATGTGGCTAAAAGGACACACTTGAGAATCAGAGAGCCCTTGAATTTGTATGCCAGCTCTTCCACTTAATAATGGTGGAGTAATAATAATACCAGCAACACTTGGAGCTATTTTCATTGGGAAATTACAGTAGAACAGGCTCTAGGACACTTTATATGGATTATGATATCTAATCTTCATAGCAACTACATTGTGGTTTATTCCTGTTTTTCCAAAGGGGAAAATAAGTCTTAGCAGGGTTAAGTAATTTGCTTCAGCTCTTCAACTAGTGAAGTTTAGATCCCAAATACAAAGCTTGGCATTCTAGCACCAGAGCCTGAAGTCTTACCCACAAGCCTATGCTCAACTGCTTTGAGCAAGATACCTGACCCTTTTACAATCTGTTTTCTGACTTATAAGGTGAAAGTAATAGTAACTGCCTCCTGAGTTTCCTGTGAGGGTTAAATGAAAGGAGACTGACTGGCACAGAATCAATTTAGAATCAGTTACTGCCAATCAAGTGCGAGGACAGCTCAGAAATCTGAGTCAAAGACACATTGGCATCAGTTACTCAAAGGAAAAGCTCAAGCAGAGGGACCACACATGTGGAACTAAAGAGAATGGAGCTCTGTCCCAAGCTATTTATTTTTGTGTAGTACAGCAGAATGAGGCAGGGTATAACTGCTAAGAGTCACCAAGACAACCTCAAAAAATTGCCAAGAATAAGTCACAATGTGGAAGCTATTTCTTTAGGAGTAAAAATTTAAGCCTAAGTATTAAAAGAACAATTATAATAACAAGGCTCTACATGAGCTAAAGTGGTATAGTCTGCAATAACAAAGTGGTACTCTTGGCTTTACATAGTGAAATAGTAAAGATATTCAAAGTTTATTCTACACATGAGAGAAAGGCAACATAGAGAAACTACTTTTATCCTTGCATAGGTTTTTATTCATTTGTTTATAGGAAGGAAGGATTTATAGTGGTTTTCAAAAATTTATAAAATATAGAGTATTAATATAAATTAGAAGGCGAAGAATAAAAATTTTAAAGGGAAGTAATATAAGACAGTTGAAAGGTTGAACTTTGGGAAGAGTTGAAAGGTTTTCCCAAAGAAAAACATACAGAGCAGAAATCAATAAAAATGAAAATAGGAAGAAAGAAAACAAAGTTGGTTCTCTCTTTATCCTCACCTGAGGACATTTTTTCATTGCTTCTAGAAAGAGAGGAAGGGAGAAAGAGAAACACTGATGAGAGATAGAAGCATTGATTGGTGGCCTCCCACACGAGTCCAGACTGGGGATCATACGCACCCAAATGGGGAACCAAACCCACAACCTAGGCATGTGCTCTGACCGGGAATCAAACCTGCAACTTTTTGGTTACAGAACAACATTCCAACTGACTGAGCCACACTGGCCAGGGTCAAATTGGGTTTAAAAAAAAAATCAATGAAATTAATAAATCTCTAGCAAGACTGACAAAGAAAAGTGAGAAAACACAGATCACCAATATCAGGGGGGGAAATGGGATAGCACAACATATCTTATAGCCATTAAAAGGATATTTAGGAAATATTACGAGGAGTTTTATTCTAATTAATTCAACAACTTAAACGAAATGGATCAATTTCTTGAAAACTTCAAACTACCAAAACTTATCCATGATGAAAATGATCAGCTGACTATTCCTATAACTATTAAAGAAATTGAATTTGCAGCTAAAAACTCCAGAAAAAGAAATATGCAAGCCCATTTTGTTTTACTGGAGAATTTTAGAAAACATTTTTAAAAAGAATTGCATATATTTATATACTATGCTGTATACCTGAAATTAAGATAATGTTATATGTCAATTTTATCTCAAAATGCTTTCAAAGATGTTAACACTTATTTTACAGAGTATCTGCCAGAAAAAAGAGGGAACTTTCACCAACTCATTCTATTAGGCCAATATTCCCTTATTACCAAAGCCAGAAAATAATAGTGCACATCAAAAAGAAAAACTCACTACAGACCAACATCTCTCATAAACTTAGACAAAATCCTCAACAAAATTTTAGCAGATCAAATACAACAATATATAATATAGCAATATGCTAAAACTGAGGGGGAGTTATTTTGGGTATGCAAGTCTAGTTCAATATTTTAAATATCCATCAATTTAATCCATATCAACAGGATAAAGAAGAAAAATCTATGGTTGTATCAGCTGATGCACAAAAAAAATCATACAATAAAATTCACAAACATTCATTATAAAAACTCTCAGTACACTTCAACCTCATAAACAGTATCTACAAAAACCTAATATCATGCTTTACAGTAAAAGATTAAATGCTTTCCCTCTAAAATGAAGAACAAAGCAAGCTTGCCCGCTCCCACTAATCTTATTTAACACAGTACAGGACATTCTTGCCACTGAAACAAGGTAAGAAAATTAAGGTTAAAACAAATACTGTTTGAAAAGGAAGAAATGGAACTATCTCTTTTTGTAGAAGGCATGGCTGTCTATATACAAAATTCTAAGAAATCTACAAAAAGTTCCTAGAATTAATAAGTGAGTTTAATAAGATCACAGGACAAGATCAACACAGAAAAAACAGCTGCATTTCTCTATACTGACAATGAACAAGTGGAAACCAAAATCAAAAATAGAATACCATTTATAATTGCTCCCCCCCCCAAAAAAATAAAATCCTTAAGTATAAAACCTAACATAGAGAATCTTTATGATGAAAACCATAAAATAATGAAGAAAATTAAAAAATAATCTAAATACTTAGAGAAATTTACCATGTTCATGGATTGGAAGAATCAATGTCGTAAAAGATCATTTTCCCTAGATTGACCTATAGATTAAACACAATTCCTATCAAAATCTCAGTGAGTTTATTTGAAGACATAGACAACCTTATTCTAAAACTTACATGAAAAGAAAAAATCCCTAAAAAGCCAAAATAACTTTTTAAAAGATGACCCAAGTGGAAGGAATCACTTTTCTCAATGTTAAGGTTACTATATAGCTGTAGTCATCAATACAGTGTGATAGTCACAGGGGGACAGATATGCAGATCAGTGGAACAGACTAGAGAACCCAGAAATAGAGCCACACAACATGCACAATTAATATTTAACACAGGAGCAAAAGCAAGTAAATGGAGGAGGAACAGCCGTTTCAACAAATAGTGCTGGGGCAACTGCAAGTCTGTTGGTGAAAAAGTAGCACTCAAGGTAAACCTCAGGGAGAGGGTGTCCTGCTTCACCAGAACTTCAGCTCACTTGGGGCATGGGCCAAAGCCTCAGCTAATTAAAAAGTGTTCCTTTACCTCATTTTGCCTTCTGTTTATGTGGGATAGGATCTAGGTGGCAGCATGCTGAGTCCTCACCGAATACCATTTTCCATCTCAACCTAAGTTTTATAGGGGTAGCTTTCACAGTGATTTACTTGTTTGCTCCAATCTATATGGCAAAGGTAAAAAGTCCACATCCAGGGACCTTTCTGGATTTACAGAGGGCCCCATCTGCCAGACGCATTTGTGACAATCGATTGTCAGCCAACCAGTAACATGAGACACTGAGTTCAAAGCTACCCATTCAGGATAGACTGACTGACAGAGTGTGATTATTTCAGCTCTCAGAACAGTAAGCACATGGCTTCCCCTTCAAAGGGCTCTTCCTTCTAACGGCTATCTCCACAGTCAAGGTACTGCTCAGCAGCCCTCAAATGAACCCCATTGCCCAGACATCTATGAGGAACAAGTGTTGGGATGAAGAAGATGATCTTGCCAACTTACGTGGAACTGGTCTGAGGTTGTTCAAATGCTTCTTTTGGAATTTTAAGGCCAGGGTTTCGCTTCTTGCCTGTAAGGAAAGACACAAAGGTAAAGTTAAGGTCTGCATCACAGCACTAGTGAAGGGACAGAGATGGCAGCAGAAGGAAAGGGCTGACCTGGAAACGGAGCTCTCATCACCCTGTTCAGAATGGCACTTGCCACCCACGTCTGCGAGGGACAAGCACCCAAGCACCAGGCTGAACAGAGCTTCCCAAAGGCAGACCGTGGTCATGGGTGAGGTTTTCACCAGTCGCAGGTAAAAATGCCAGTATAAGAATGCCAACTCTCTTTACCTCGGAAGACCTGGCCCTTCTCCCTGATGAGATTCTGTCATTCCATTGTCTCTGTTCTCTCTTGTGCACAGCGATGGTAATGGTAGACGGTGTGGGTTATAGTTCCTTTTTTCTTTTTAACGTCTGTCAAATGTAGTCACCCTGATCCCAGTATCTCACAATTTTCTAAACTGATCTTTGAACAACTGACGGAGTTAACTATGGAGGTAAAATTAAAAATACTTTCCCACCATCTGCCCTGCCCATTCTCAACCACCTGCCAGAAGCTGAGACACCTAAGGGAGGAACAGAATAATATTTATTTACATGTGCCCTGTTCCAAAAAGGATTAAGGTAACAGATGGGCTCATGCAAGGAGGTTATCGCTGCTCTGGGAGCCAGATGGGCACGTAACTGATGTGTTCATCCCTGGGCTGAAACCACAAGACAGCTTGGCTCAAATACTTTTGTTGATGAGTAAAAAAGAACAGACTGAGAAATGCCAGCTCAGGAAGCAGATCAGAGAAAAGAGGCATGTAAGGGCTCGGGATTTTCCTCCTCTAAAGAGATCCCGTGTGTCTCTTCGTGCCAAAGCGAGCTGGATGGAACGCCCGGGGTCGCACTTTGCTCCTTGCCTCCCCTGCGCGCTGCCGGTGGCGTGCAGTGCTGACACCGGCCCCGGACAAGGTCCTGGGCAGAGATTCCGAGGCTGCAGAGGAGGTTAAGAAATCAAATATTGTAACCTGCTGGCCGGAAAATGACTTCCAAAGACTCCAGGGACTGCTCATCATCACAGAGCCAGCTACGACCCAGTCAGAATCAGAATCTGGGTCTCTGGACCCGAGGTCAAAGCTCTTTTCACTGTTTCACAACGGAAGGAGTTTAGAGATGACCTGGCGGGGGCGGGGGGGCGGGGGGGGGTGGGCGGTGGCAGTGAAGGGAGTGTGGCATTTTGAGTTAAAAAAAAAAAAAAAAGCTGACGTTGTGTTCTTCGCCTCACCCAGTGACCTCAGAGCCACTTTGACTCTCCATATCCTCAGCTGTAAAGTGGGGGAGTCACATCAATACCTGCCTTATTAGACTGATATGAGAACCAAATGAGATAATATAGGAAAAAGTACTGAGACACCTTAAGTAGCCGTTAATTATAATCATTCAGAGAAAGAATTTGTACAGTCATATTAATGAATAAGTCATGTAAGAAACTTAAGAACAAAATTGGCCATATTATTAAAACTCAGTGTAAGGCATACTTGAGTCTTTTCCCCCCATGCATTCAAAATCCAAAATCATGTTCAGTTCTGCCAAGTTATATAAAGCCAGAGGAAAAAAAGCCTTTTAGGACCACCTTCGCGATCACAGTTTCCTCCGCTCCCTCCTCATTTGGGTTTATCTATACATTTTATAAGATTCAAAACTCACCATTTACTTTCTTACTCCTGGAGCTCAGGTGGCCACTTAGCACATGTTACCAAGTTAGTGTCAGCTGTTGACAGCACACCAAGCTGTACCGTGTACCAGGAAAAATACTAAGTGTGAGATCTGATTGTAAGAGTCCAAAAACCAGATATATGACCTAATTCCCATCTATGGGCCTCAGTCAAATAGATGGGAAATGCTATTTTAAATGAGATATTCCAGTAGCAGTGAATAACAAATTCAATTTGTCCAGACAGCTAGGTACATATGCCCATACAGCTGACAGGTAATTCAGGTAATCCCAACAGATACAAACCCATAATTCCCTTGACATTCTAAAGATAAAACAAAACAAAACAAGACAAAACAAAATTAAAGTAAAAACTATTTTACTTGTAATAAGGCTCTCCAGTTGCCATTTCAGTGAACCAAAAGGAGGAATTACCCTTCAATTCCTACATCTCTCTCTTCTTCATTTCTAACTCATCTCCTACAAGATAGATGTCAAAAGAAATAGCTATTTATGGAGAAAACCTCCTTCACAAAACTTTAACATAGCAATGACTTATTATACCACAGCAATGACTTATTAGCTATTCATTAATAGCAATCAATTATTACACTATAACTCAACGAACCACTAACACATCTATACAAAGAAACAGTAAATAAGAGAAAGAGAGAGAAGCCTTTTGGCACAGAGACCAATGGAACAAGTTACCAAAGCAGCAATAATGTCTTCGAGGTGTGAGAAGAGAAGGCCCCTAGTTCTCTTCCGACGGCAAGAAGAAAAGTTCCAGGAGACACGAAACCTAGTTGAATTACATGGTTAGAAAATACCCTGCCTTCATTTTTAAAAGTAGATCACATGAAACAAAAATCACAGGCCCACACACCAACATTCCATCACTTACGAGCCCACCGCAGAAAACGCAGCCTAGTGAGAAGCCAGCAGGAGTGGCTCTCATGAGATTTTCAAGGCTGCAAGGAGGGCTAGCCTGTGAGAACCCCACGGAAGGCATTCTTTCCTTAGCACGGGAAAGCGGCTCTGAACAGACTCCTCCCCCTCCTCAAGTGAGGATCACAGCAACCTCCGGGAGTTTATTGTTCCCGGGAAGCTGCCACTTCAGGAAGAGGGAAGGGAAGTGGGCCCATTTGGACAGCGAGGCGTGACATTAATCATTAACCAGACTTGGCAGAATAAATCTATAAAGTAATTCTGCACAGTACAGCATTCTCCGGCCCTTCTATAAATGCCTCTTTCATTTCTTAAAAGAAAGAAAAACAATATGCGGTCAGTTTCCAGCTGTGTTGATTTCAAAGCAATCTGTTCTCCCTAGCAAGGCCGCCAACCCCTGACGCTAACATTTAATACTGTGTTATAAAAAATTAATGAGGGAGCAATATGAATAATAAGGCTAAGTGGCCGATAGTGTTAAATGGCCTTTTCCCTTGATCTTCTAAAGCAAAAATTGAAAAACATATCAGAACACAGGCTCTATATTATGTTTCCTGCTAGCCACAAGCCTCCTCAGAAAGACAAAATTCTGTTGATTTCTGGAGCTCTCGACAAGCTTTGCCCTTGTATTGGTGCGATCTGAGAAGGGTAAGCCTTCTGGGCCTCACTGAGCACATGCACAGCTATATGACATGTGCCCAAGTCCCACCCATGCCTGTTTTCTCTGAAAACACTGCAGTTCCCCCCTACACCACACCTCTCTCTCTCTCTCTCTCTCTCTCTCTCTGTCTCTCTGTCTCTCTCTCTCTCTCTCTCTCTCACACACACACACACACACACACACACACACATTTTTGTAAAATTCATCTTAAACCAAAGTTAGGTCATCATGATCTTGGCCTGGAGCAAAATGGCACTAGGGAAAAAGAAAAAAAAAACAACAACAAACCGTGCCCATCGTTAGAAAACATTACCAGGCCACAGAAATGTTCGCGAGCTTTGCCTGTACCGAAAATGATGGGGTACACAGACCTCTTGCTCAGCACCCACTCAGAGAGGCCAAGCACAAAGGGCTTCTCTCATGTGCCTTATTACATAAAACAGAAGGTCGTGCTCCCATGCCAACCCAAACAGCAAGAGAATCCCACAGGGTCAACAGAAGGTGGCATCGTGAGGATATGCTGACACCCAAATATTTGTCAGCTTGGCTGACGTTTTGGGGGGTATAATTATGAGGGTTTATGATTATTGACACAGCCTTACAAAAGGATGGCATTGCTTCCAGTGCCAAATTTATTTTAAAAATCTGTTTCCCAATGTGAATGGGGTTGCCAGTTACTTGACTGGCAACCTGGAGGCCTTGGCTGCCCTCTACTTAATCCTTGCATCTAGGCTTAAGTTCCAAGGGATGCTGGCACAAAAATCAGCAGAGAAGTGACATTCTATGTTATTCAGTGGCAATGATCGGATGCAAAGCAACAAATGAAGCAGCGCAGAGGGAAGGGAGTGCAGGGAGACCGCCGGCTCCGCCACAGGGACACGAACGTGGGCACTCACGCTCCCGGGACCCAAACACTGGACCCCACCGACCACTGAGCCTCCGACCAGCATGCCAGATCTCTTTGGGGTTACATAACATTTAGAGAAGGAAAGCTGCAAAGCTCACTTTTAAGTGTGTGGCCATTTTGATTTCAAGGAGGCCGATGAGTCTTGACTTTACCTTTGGGTTCCCTGTGGATGGGAACTGAACCTTCCCAATTCACCTCACTTGCCGCACACCCCGCAAAACCTTCCCAGATCTCCCTGAACGCTCATTAAGGGTCACTGTCCACATGTGCCAGCTTTTACATTCTGGCATCTTGCACAAAAAATGAACTTAGTGCAATTTTACGGAATCTCCAACATCTCACTTCATTTATTTGTTTTTTTCAATTCTCATCCAAGGACATGTTCACTGATTTTAGAGAGGAAGGAGTTGGGGGTCGAGCAGGGGCAGGTGGGTTGGGAGAGGGGAGAGAGAAAGAGAAACACTGATGTGAGAGAGAAACATCCATCAGCTCACCTCCTGTTTGCACTCCAGCTGGGGATTGAACCACAGCCTTTTGGTGTATGGGATGATGCTCCTCCACCGAGCTGAACCTGGCCAGGGCTAAATCTCTGCCATTTTAGTTTAAAATGCCCACTGTGTCTAAAATAGATCTCCATGACCATCTTCCATTTCTATTCCTCTTACCTTTTCTCCCAGTCTCGAAGTACTTTATTTTTGCATTTATGTATTTATTTATTGCTTATTTATTATCTAACTTCCCCACATAAATTCCATTGTGACAGCAATTTTGCCCAGAGACTGAAAGGTTGCAATTGATAATTTTTAAATTT